AGTTTAGCTAGTTTCCTGGAAATCTCTAGGAGAGGAAATCTGCAAATGCTCCCCCTACAGTTATGTAAGCACTCAGCCTTTTGAAGCTTCACCCTAAAGAATGGAGCTTTTGTCTGCTGATTACTTGTTAAACGAGGACAAGATCAAAGGCTCAAACTGTGTAAAGGAAAGAACAAACTGTTCAAAGTGTGTGTGTGTTGTTCTGATCTAATAGCTATTATGACCATATGAACACACACACACACACACACACACACACACACACTCTCTTTCTTTCTTTACCCCCTCCTCCCGTTTGGTGACAGACAGGTCTCCAGCCACGAGAGGTGATGGCTGAGGAGTCAGGAGCCCATGCTGGCCCATAGAGGGGGAGTACAGGTGCAATTGCCCGGAACTGTGACATAGATGGTGTCAGCATATGCAGATCTATAAGAATGTGAATTGCAGAAGTGCTAATAGCGGTGAAAACAAGTACACTAAAAAAGAAAATGGGTTTTGGAAAACTGAAGAAAAGTCAGCTGGCTTAGCTATGCAAAGAAAGGAAAAAGGGAGAACTGTACAAAAGATACAGCTAGTCCACTTGTGATATTCTGATGACAAGAGGAGGAATGATGGTCCAGGGATCATCCAGCTCACTGGCAGAGGGAGACATTTTGAAGTCAATTTCCTGGCGGGAGGTCAGAAAGAAACTGACCGAGGCAGATTATGTTCTGTTCACTGTATGTGGGACCAGGGTAAGTCTACAGAAAGACCAAGAGAGGGGCTGACTGCATCTGGAAATCCAGCATCTTAAAGACCTGGAGCGTGAGAGACTGGAAGCACCAGAGCAAGTGAGAAGAGAAGAACAAGGATTGTCAATATCAGCTTGAGATGGAGAAACTGCACCAGTAGAACCTTAGATCAGGTCTACCCTAGGGGATAAGTTTGAATTAAGATACGCAATTCCAGCTACATTAATTGCATAGCTGGAGTCGACATTTTAATTTGAACTTCGGTACCATCCCCACAGCAGGAGGTTGATGGGGAAAAGGCTCCCATCGACTTCCCATACTCCTCATGAGGAGTAGGAATACAGGCCTCTGCAGGGCCACCCTCCTCATTTGATTTAGCAGGCACTTACTAGACACCGTAAACTGAACACCAGAAGATTGACCTCCAGAGCATCAATCCGCGGGTAAGTATAGGCGTGGCCTCAGTCTGGTAGGTGAAGCCAGATCCCAAGTATCTATCCACATGGGTGGCATAAATTCCAAACTCGTTTCTCACATTAGGGAGGCGGATGACATGCAGATATTTCTAAATGCTTTTGAAGTAGGGTGTGAGTTGAATAAGGTGGGGAAGGCAGATATGCTATGGCATCTGGTTCCATCACTGTCTAGGACAAACACCTTATACATGTTCATCCTTATGGACAGGGAAAACTATCCAGATTATGAGTGATGTAAATAAGCTTTGAGGCTAAGTTTAAACTGACTCATGAAACAACTAGAATATTTTGGGGAATTCAGAAAAAAGGGTCAGTGACCTGTGCTGAGGTTTCAACTCAAATTAGGGATATGTAAGGCAATGGGGAACTGGCTGGAAGGGGTACCATGGTCAATGAGGTCTACAAATTAAGAGAATTTTGTAAACTCTACCACTCCAACCAAAAATGCTGGAGATGTAGCTAGAGCTGGGTAATGGAAAAGCCAATATGCAGATAGCTGCTCTGGGTTTGATAGAAAACCTGACAAGAAAGGAATGGGATAAAAGGACAAGGATCAGACCTACGCCAAGACTTGTTCTAGTGGGTATGGAAACCACCACTGAGATGTCCTGGGATAGGTAGGGAAAAGAGGTGCTGCATATGTGGCCAATTAAGTGACTTTGCTCAGTAGTGCCTGGTAAGGCCCCCAGTGCCCAGTGCAGTACTGGAAAGGCCAGCTGCACCTCAGCTTCACAAAGTGACTCTCTGTAGGGAGGGAGTCACATAGCCAGTGAACTGATGGCATATAAATTCATGCTGAGTCATTCATGCCTCTAACCACACCCCAAGCGGCATGCCAGTGAAGATATGCCGGCTTGTCAGTGGAAGCAGAAGGTGGTAATTAATGGAGAGATACTCACTGTATGGAGAGATTAGGGGACTACTGAAATAATAGTTAAGCCCCTGATATGAAACCTCATCAGAAGCTCCCAGGGTGTGAAATGTACACTAACATACCTGCTGCAAAAGCATTCCACAGTCCAGATTTCTATTCAGACCCAGGAACGGTCAAGGGTGCTGGTGGTTGTCAGTGTATTGTCATATATTCCATGTTCTTTGCTTTTGGGGAATGATACTATGACACTGAAAACAGAAAGGGCGAATCAGACCCCTCCCTTCCCCTCAGTTTGCTTCGGACTGGCAAGAGACTGATAGTGAAAATGTAATTGGGGTAGCTGATAGAGAAATCCTCGACACTATACAAAAGGAAACTGTCATGAAACATACAGATGGAGGTGGGGGAATAGCTCAGTGGTTTGAGAATTGGCCTGCTAAACCCAGTGTTGTAAACTCAGTCCTTGAGGGGGGCCATTTAGGGATCTGGGGGAAATCTGTCAGGGATGGTACTTGGTCCTGCTGTGAAGGCAGGGGACTGGACTTGATGACCTCTCAAGGTCCCTTCCAGCTTTATGAGATAGGTATATCTCCATATATTACTACCCCTGACCTTCTGCAACCTTAGGCAAATTACTTCCTCTCTCTGCCTCATTTCTATTTTAAAGAAAAGAGAGAAAGGAAATATTTATCTTTATTGACACTGTATGCTCCCCTGGGTAGAGACTGTCTTTTTACAACATGTATGTATAAGATCTAGCAGGATGAGGTCCCAGATTTGGGCGGACCTTATGGTGATACTTTACTACAAATTAATGATTCATAGTTGTGTCCCATTTATGACTAAGCCACTCAAGTGAGAGATGCTGTTTTACATTCATTTTCCACTATCAGGGAGGAAGAGTTAAAAAAAAAAAATTAGTTCCTTAGCTGGTTATTCGTTAAAAACTACATGTTGCAATGAGGAAGCACAGTGACAAAAAAGAGCTGGCACAGCATTATGCCACTCATGATGACAACACCAAGCTAAGCAGTGTGACCCTTGCACTGAAACACTGAAGTCCTTAAATGAACTCACTGTGAATCACCTCTTTCCAGTCTAGTTGACTGAATGCGTTTTTTCCTAACATACTTTATTCCCCATACCCAAACTTGTAATTTCACAGGATACAACCTCATTGCTTCACACTGGCTGTTTTGCAAATTTTTGTTTGAACGAGGAGAAAAGGCTCAAATCCTGTCTGTGCTCTGTGTGTGTTCCCAGAAGTCCTTGAACCAGGGCACCAGGAAGGGTGATTCAGGCTCCAGGAGCTGACCCCGATCATCTCTGGCCATGCAAGGGAGGGGAAGGTGAAGAAGCAACAGGAAAAGCTGAATAGGAGAGCAGAGGAAGGCAGGGAGTGGGACAAGCTGCCAAACACTCTCCGCATTAAGCACAGTGGCATCACAACCTCAGTATGGCATACACATTTGAAATGCTGAGGTAAACAAAGCAAAAAAGCACTGTGGTCTTAACACAAGAAACTGATAGCTACTGAACAAAGTTATTCGGTCATAGAAAAAAAAATGCCATGCCATGTTCTGGGCAACCAAGCCACTCAGGCTTTCTCTCTTTCACAAGAAATGAAAGGTCCTGGCTGACCATTTGCCATTAGTCTGGTGGGGAATCTCAGGAGTGGGGGGCTGAATGCAGACCTGGGCTTGCCTAGCGCAGCATTGGGGGCTCAGCATTGGGGAGCCCCCTGCCTCTTACCCGCAGAGCTGGAGCACGCAAAATCTACTAGCCTGGGCCCCACTAGGCTCTGGTGTGCAAGGGGAATGTGGAGAGGGTCTTTCTCCCGCTCAGTCAGGGCTTTTCACTTTGCTTCTCACTTGTGTGTGGCCCCCAACTGATTTTTCTGTGGGTTAGTGGCCCTCGACCCAAATAAGGTTCCCTGTCCCTTGTTTACACGGAGCCAAGGGCACCAACTCTAAGCTGCTGGGGTAGAGCATGTTTCAGAGGGGCAGCCGTGTTAGTCTGTTTCAGCAACAACAAAAAGTCCTGTGGCGTCTTAAAGACTAACATTATTTAGACATAAAAATCACGTGCCAAGAACCTGATATGGAAGTAGGGCTGGTGACAAACCTCATCAGGCCCGGTGACAAACCTCATCAGGCCCATTAGGCAGAAGGGGCAGGTTTAGGAGCTTGCCTCCCGCAGCCAGCCCTCAGCACCATCCGGTTTATGCCATGCAGGGCTCCAGTGGTGATTTAAAGGCTCCAGGACTTTGACCGCTGTGATGCAACAGTAGGAGCAGTGGCATCCTGGATCCCCATTGTTAGCTCCCGCGTCAACAGAAAGAACAAGGCAATGTGGGTATGCATCCCGCTCACAGAAAGACAGCCTCCAGGCGCCCCGTGCGGACACCCTCCACCCCCTGCAGTTGCAAGAGCAACTTCCTGCGCTGCTGCTGCCTATCCCACCCCGCTGCAATATACAGCAAGGGTGTGTCTAGACTAAAGGGTTTTGTTGACAAAAGTCCACTTTTGTCAACAAAACTATACCTGCGTCTACACTACCGCTGAGTTCTGCTTACATAACGTCGACAGAACTTGGCAGTTTTGTCGACAGCGGTAAACCTCATTCTACGAGGAATAACGCCTTTTGTCGACAGAGCTCCTTTTGTCGACAAAGCGGCCTGCTTTGTCAACAGAACTGGATGTAGCGTAGATGCGCTTTGTCGACAGTATCTGTCGACAAAGCCTCTGTCGACAAAAGCCTGTAGTCTAGACGTACCTCAATATACCACCTTATGCCACTGCCTCCAGCCTCACCTCCATTCTGCTCTGCAACACAGTACCTTAGTGCCCCACACCGTCACCGCTCCCTCTACCCCAGCTGCATTAGAGCAATTTACCAGCCTGTGAGGGGGTCACTCACCACCGTAGCGGGGGGCCGTCGTCTGTCCCCCGGAATCAGTCCATTCCACCCGCACCGGCCTCCGCTTACGTGGCGTTTCCCCTCTGGAAGCTTCCAGTCGCGTTGCTCTCTTCGCCACACTGCCCTCCGGCAGTGCCCAAGTCACTCGCTCTGAGCCCCCCTTCCGGGGGTTTGGTGTCTCTCCAGCAGGCCTTGCCGTAGGCCTAGCAGGCTGGCCGGCTGTCCAAGCGCCCTGGCCCAGCCTGACTCTCTCTAGCCCTGCCCTAGCTCCGGAGAGCGTCCTGCTCCCTCGGCAGCCCTTTGCTGAAGCAGCCCTTCCCTTTTATAGCTCCCAGCTGGGCCTTAATGGGCCAACGCCGCCCAGCTGGGCTGAACTCCCCGCGC